CGTTCCAGTCCCTTTCCACCGTAACCCATGCCATGGCAGATGTCGATGCAGTACTGGTACTCACTTCTGCAGCCGCACGTCGACTCAGACGAAGCAGCACTGTGAACTCGGAACTGCAACAAGCCTGCATCCTCTCTGTCTGCCTCGTGGCAGAAGCCGCACTCGCAGTAGCGCTCGAAGATGGGCCACACCTTGTCCTGATTTTTGTGGCAAAGCTCCTCGCAGTGGGGGCACTTGACAATGTCGCAGATGTCATGGCACCAGCAATCCAGGTCGTTACACCTGTCAGCAGTTGTCGTGGTCGTTGTGGTCTTGTAGTAGTCGTCGTCGTAGTCATCGCCAAAGTCATCGCAGTCGGCACAGTAATCGAAGATCTGATGGACCAACCCAAACGCTTCCACACATTTGTCCTCACACGGTCCACATGTAGAATCCCCGCAGTAGAAGCCGTCGTAGCAGAGATCTGCGCAGAAATGATGCTCGTCATTGAGGCCTTCTCCACAGTACTTGTCGAAAACATCCCAGATGTAGTGGATGTCTTCGTGGCAGTACTCGTAGCACTTGTCCCCCAGCGGGTACACCATGAAGTCCGTCTCGCAGATCTCCTGGCAGACGTTGTCCGTCGTGCAGGAGTCGACGCCGTCGTTGGACAGACTCAAGAATGCGGGCTCTGCCTCTTTCTCGAAGACTTGCTGCGGCAGCTGCAGCTCCTCTGCATAAGCCACGCGCTCCAAGCATGCAAACAACACGAGCAAGGGGGCAAGCACCATGCTTGTGCCTTCGGCACCAAGCCAGGCCAGAAATAAGACGGTTCGGTAGGACTTTAGCCGAACGGCTGGCGTAAGCTGAGGCATTCCTGTAGGTAACTTCACAGCTCCAGCGGTCCGCACCCAAGAGGAAATCTTTCACTTGCAGCCTGCACCTGACAACTTCAGAAAGCCGTAGCGATTGTCCTTTTTGCGCCTTGCGTAAATCCGGAAGGCCAAGAAATCGTGCCCCTATCGCTGCCACATCCTTTGGAGGGTGCGAGGTGGGGCCGGGCAGTTGCGAAGCTCTCGTTGCACAGGTTCTGCGGCTGTTCTGTTCTCCCATTGCAGGCTGTTATTAACTAGCCAACGAAACGGCTCGACTTGAAACACTGACAAAAATACGGTCTTGCGCAACGTCGCAGAGGATCTCTTCGCACTTGACCCAAATACCAAAAACCGGTGAGGGTGCGTTGCATCTTCTACCTGTCTTAAAACTCCAGCCCATTTCAGAAAGCTGGATCATTCGTGCTTGGCAGGGAAAGCCTCGCTGGCTTAGTCACTACCGGTAGTGTTTGCCGAAGATCTCTGGGTGCTTCCACTTGAAAGCTGCTGCTTTCGCCTCGGCCTGCCACTTCTTCCCCTCGTAGTAGGCCTTGGCCTTGGCTGCCTTTACCTTCCAGTCCCATGGAACGTCCCTCTTGGGATACTTGCCGAAGTAATCCGGATGCCTTGCCTTGAAGGACTCTGCCTTTGCGATGGCCTTGTACTTCTGCTTATTGTAATTGATCTCGGCCTTTTTCGCCTTGATCTTCCAGGAGTATGGCACATCCGGAGCCGGGTAGTAGTCTGGAGAAGGGTAGGGCCCTGGAACCGGGTATGGCTCTGGAGCAGGGGGTTGGTACGGGCCAGGGGGCTGGTACGGCCGAGTCGTCTCGTACGGCGGCCTGGTCGTCTCATAAGGTGGCCTAGTGGTCTCATAGGGCGGCCTGGTCGTCTCATAGGGCGGCCTGGTCGTCTCGTAGGGTGGCCGGGTTGTCTCATAGGGCGGCCTGGTCGTGTCGTCGGGAGGCATGGTCGTCTCGTAGGGTGGCCGGGTTGTCTCATAGGGCGGTCTGGTCGTCTCGTCGGGAGGCGTGGTCGTCTCGTAAGGCGGCCTGGTGGTCTCGTAGGGTGGCATGGTCGTTTCAACTGGTTTTGTGGTCGTCTCATAGGGCTCGGGCGTGGTGGTCTCGTAAGGCTCGGGCGTGGTGGTCTTCGTGGTCGTTACGGACTTGGTTGTTGTCTCGTCCTCGTGGCACTCGTGGCAGTAATCTTCCAAGATGCCCTCGAGCTTTCCACTTGAGTAGCAATCCTCCGTGCAGCGTTCCAGTCCCTTTCCACCGTAACCCAGGCCATGGCAAATGTCGATGCAGTACTGGTGCTCACTTCTGCAGCCGCACGTCGACTCAGACGAAGCAGCACTGTGAACTCGGAACTGCAGCAAGCCTGCGTCCTCTCCGTCTGACTGGTCACAGAAGCCGCACTCGCAGTAGCGCTCGAAGATGGGCCACACCCTGTCCTGATTCTTGTAACAAAGCTCGTCGCAGTGGGGGCACTTGACAATGTCGCAGATGTCATGGCACCAGCACTCCAGGTCATAGCACCTGTCAGCACCATAACTGGTACATTTGTCCGTCGTGACCGTCGTGGTCTTGTAGTAGTCGTCGTCGTAGTCATCCCCAATGTCGTCACAGTCGGCACAGTTGTCGAAGATCTGATGGACCAACCCAAACGCTTCTACACATTTGTCCTCGCACGGTCCACATGTAGAATCCCCGCAGTAGAAGCCGTCGTAGCAGAGATCTGCGCAGAAATGATGCTCATCATGGAGGCCTTCTCCACAGTACTTGTCGAAAACATCCCAGATGTAGTTGATGTCTTCGTGGCAGTACTCGTAGCACTTGTCCCCCAGCGGGTACACCATGAAGTCCGTCTCGCAGATCTCCTGGCAGACGTTGTCCGTCGTGCAGGAGTCGACGCCGTCGTTGGACAGACTCAAGAATGCGGGCTCTGCCTGTTTCTCGAAGACTTGCTGCGGCAGCTGCAGCTCCTCTGCATTAGACACGTGCTCCAGGCATGCGAACAGCACGAGCAAGGGGGCAAGCACCATGCTTGTGCCTTCGGCACCAAGCCAGGCCAGAAATAAGACGGTTCGGTAGGACTTTAGCCGAACGGCTGGGCGCAAAGTGATTGTCTACATCCCATACATCTGCAGAAAAGACAAAGACTGCATGCCGAAACTTTTCTTGCACATGCGGCCCCTGAGTGCAGGTGGACCTCGCCGTCTAGCCGCCGGAGATGACGCGATCCTGGAAAGCCCAAAAAGCTGTTGGCTCACACAGCTGGGGGCCAAGGGCGATGCCCCAAAATAGACACAAGTTGTTGGAACATTGGTGCTCCGACAGGTGCACCAACATGGACACATGCACACTACTCATCATCATGGGCCACTGGGCACAGGGAATAAACGGCACAGCCACCGAGCTGTCCCTTTGTCGTAATCGTCAGTCGTGCGACCACAGAGCACATGTCTGGAAACGTCGGACAGCACGTGGTAGCACAGGCCTGGAAACCGAGCCCAACTTGATAAGAAAACACTGCGCGACTGTTAGAGGAAACTACGGACAAACAGAACGTCAGCGGAGGGTCGACACAAACGAATCAGACAGCAATTTGCACGGCTTCGCAATCAGATCGACTGCCACCCGAATGTGCTCGAATGTGCCATTAGCAAACACCCCCCCCCCCCCACGGGCGAAGCTGCGGTTTCCTGAAAGGGCTTAATACTTCAAGAGTGTCGGTTTGAAACCACTCGGCCAAGTACGCTCTGCATTCCTCGCACATTGGCACCGAGGATCTGGCTTCGATTGAATCGAGTCTGTTGGGAACCCGGGACCGTTGCCATTTCACGCCGAGCTCCCACAGGCCCACAGGCACGTCTCGTGTTAGCTGTATGCTGAGATGTAACTGGGCGCAAAAGCGTCAAACCAGCCGAGGAGCAGTGAGCCCAAGAACTCTTCACTGTCGCCGTCAGTGTCCCTTTCCCTCTCCCTTCAATCCTCACCCGCCCCCGGACCTTTGAAAAACCAAATCCCTACCCCAAACCTAAACGTGGGAGTCTAGAGCCAGAACTCGAACCAAAGCCTCCTCGCAGCAGAGCCGAGAAAAGGAGCGACCGGAGCATGAGAAGGATGGATTAGCTCCGGGGATGACTTTTGAGTCTTGAGTCTGGGTTGAGGTGTAAGCAGGTTTTCAGGTTTACAAGCCAAGGGCTTTTGGAGATGTCCTTGCGCAGAAACTTCTTGCTTTCAGTCTTGCACAACCGTAGCACCACAGGCCGTCACAGAAGCAATGAATGCCGGCTGCATTGCTGCACAGAAAAGAAGCTGCACTTTTCTTCCGCGTCTCGAGGATCTTTGGAGAGGCGGGATCCCAGGCTGAGCCCTTCATGTCCTGACGGGGCCAGGCAGAAGAAGTGTTTTGGGGGGTCGAGGATCGGGGGCTTGCCGTTCACAACTCCGTTATCTAAATACCCGACTCTACAGCCCACATAACCATACCTCAAGGGTTCACGGTCTTTGAAAGGAGGGGTCTGAATCGGTACTTGGTATGCGCAGGAGGATATCCCGGCACAAGGCCGTCCTCCACCGCTGCACGGACTGCTTGGACTTCGTCTTGGCGTCTTGGAGGCGTGCCCTGCAGATATCACAGGAACTGGAGGACCTGACGAGGTGGCAGCCCCAGATTGCAGCGCTTGACATCGTCTTTCTGACCGAAACATGCAGACATACGGCGTAAGGTTGGCAGAGTCCCATTCCCTTCCCTGGGCAAGCTGCCTGCTTGGATCGCTGCCCTCGGCCAGAATTTCAATCAATTTGCTAGGTCACCCCATCTATGCAAGCAACGGACAGTGAAGCTTTCCTCACTGATTGACTTTGAATTGAGTTCTGGAGCAACACAGTGCTGTCTGAAGAGAGCCAGTGCCGGCTTCGCTTCGTCCCTTTCCAACTGCCTCTTTGTGCCTCCTAGGCTCTGTCGAAGGAACTTCTCGATCCTGCACCAGAAGTTAACCTCTGCAGAGCAGGCATTGAAGCTGTCTTAGAGCTGCGACGACACCGGGGCCGACATGGAAAGATGCCTGTAAGTGGCGGACGCCAGAAAAGGAATCATCGCCTCATCCATGACGGAAGCGAAAAGATTCAGGAAATCCGCTCAATCGGCGCCTGGGTCTTCGGTGATGGCATTGGCTGAGCTGCTGCTTGCAACGGTGGAGCAGCACCTTCACAGCTGACCAAAACAAGTGGTCTGCCCCTGCCCTGCTGTGACTATCCCCCACCCCGATGAGCCCTGTACACCCTCCGAGATACTAATATAACTCTACTTTACATCGTCTCACAAGGCGAATCTGCGCGTCTCTGCCAACAGAGTTGGGAAGCTGGTTGGCCTGGCGATCCTGGTGGCTGCGGCGCCATCACGGACACTTGGCCACCAGGGGCTGCCAGCGGGGCCTTCTGAGAAGTACCAGGTTGCTTGTGAATAAAGATGCATCAATGACGGCTTCACGTGTGTGCGCGTGTTTGTGTGTGTGTATTGGATAAAGATCTTGCGAACTTTCATAGCATAAGAACTTCAACAAAATCGAATTGGCAAGGCACTCTGAGCACCCAGTTTGTCAGGGGCTATAATCGGCCACCTGCTGCAACAAAACACTTCAGTTTTCTGGATACTATGTTGTTGGTCACGATAGTGACAAAAATCATCGAAAGCTGCGCAAGGTCGCTGGGAAGCTCTGTTGCGATTGCGGCATGACGAAAAAGCGCCTGAAGAAGTTGAGTTGGAAAGACAAGTTGGTAAGTGGGTAGGTTTTAGGATTTTACACATCTACAAACCTGGCCAGCCCGCTCCGCATAAAGTCCTTCTTGATCAGGACTGTGATGTCCACGGGAATGCTGCCTTTGGAAGGCCGCTGCACCTCTGGACTTGCCGAGTCGGCCGACATGTTACACCTTGCAGTGCCTTGCAGCATTCATCTGTACCCCAAGTCCAAGCACTGCTGCCTTGATGTCGGTCAGAGCGAAGCTACAAGGCCACAGAGTTTGAAGGTACCTGAATCAGATCGAAATTCTTGCCAAAAACATCTGCACGCACTGCACACTGAGCAAACAAAAACAACACACTTGCCACCGCAGCAAGTTGGCCACGGACCCCATGTTGACTGGCGAAACTTGAATGACTGCATCCGCTCCTTGGTTCGTATATAAAAAATCCTGACGGTTTAGTACCGTGGAGTTGTACGACCATACGAGTAGATGCGTGCATCTTCGCCGGGTGTGCTTGATTGAACACACAACAATCTCACATCCGAGGCAACATGGCAGCAGGAGCAAAACATGCACACATGAAGACGTTGCGAAAAAATCACTTCCAACAACCTTTGTCGATCCCGCAGCTAGCCGGCAACTTGAAACTGACCACCTTTATACAATGCTTGAGTCGGCTCAAGCATCTGCATTTCAGTCTTTTTCCAAGCCTTGCCTCTTTCGGTTTGCAGGCTAACCACCGAAAGTCTTTCGCCGCGTGCCAATGCAAGCGATGCAAAGGTCAACGTCCTTTTGCCATTTAGGTCGTTTAGGTTTGGGCCAGCACCGTGGGACGTGTTCTGAAAAACCGAATGAAAAAAACACGGCTGACCGAAAAGCAAACTCACAACGAACCTTTCGAATATTCGAAAGCGTTGACCTTTTGAGGGCTTCTTGGAAGAAACGCTTGAACCCTTCAAATGTTTCGAACGCCACCTGCTTTCGAAATGTGCGTCAATACGCATGAATGCACATCCAAAACAAACTGAAATGCAGGGATGCTTTCTTTTTGATTGCGGCATCGAACGCGCGAATATTATTTTGAACGGATCGGCCTTAAGGGGCTGTAGTCAGCAACTCCCGGCCCGAAACAGTATTCAAAGATCTATATACTTCAAAGACTGTCAATAACTAAGCACTTGTAGAAGGAGTTGAAACTATACACTTTTAATCCCGGGCTCACGACACGACAACTACAAAGTGTACAAAAGTGAACTGCCAAAACTGGGGGCTAAAGAGAGAAAGACCTCGTCGTGTAAACGCAAAACCAACAACCACGACGGTCCTACTTGGAAGGGTGGGGCATTTATAAGTAGATAGAATATTCGTGGGAAATATATAGCTTACATCAGTGGTACTTAGAGCATGTTGTATGTATGAGTCATGCAACATTTATTCGTGGCAGATGAGTATCGAACTTACCATGTGAAGCTGTTCAGATAGTATCTACATAGTGGTTGAGCCAAATACTTGGGACGGACAGGGACGACTTCGCTGTATCTGACTTACTTGACGTAAGCATCCGAAGCAGCGAAGTTACAAGTATACATAGGTATAGCAGGTAAGTCCTTTATGTTCTTTTTTAAGTTTGAAGCACTGCTTGGAGTCCAAGCGTTGCCACGGCGAACTTAATCGCTCACATTGGTGATCCGGTTACAGAAAGAAGGCAAAAAGAGCCGCGTGTACGCAAGCCACATGGCGTCAAGTCAAAGTCGCCGGCCAGGCTTTGCACAGCGTGTGCCTTGTCTCTTGGACATCTTTGCTCCCACCCACTTCAGCTTAAGCAGGTCTCTACGCTTGGTGTTGTCCGTTCATTGTTGGCGTCTTGCTCGCGCGTCGGCCCGTGCACTCTCTCTGCAGTCGGACAGGGTGTACTCTGCTGTTTCTTACTTTGGCCCTTCCCGAAGACAGTGACTCGCTCACTTTCCACTTCTCTTTGCTGGGAGGTAGTCTTGCCTCCAGTTTGGCACAGAGGCACGACGAGAAGCTGCAGTTGCATTAACATCCAGTGTCTTGTTGCATGACTCTATATGCAGGAGCATGCCCGCTGTGGTCAAAGTGGCACCAACTCCGCTGCTCCCGCTGCCTTCTCCTTGTCCTAGCTTCTTATTGATCCCCTTCCTTCTTCCCCGCTTCTGCTTCTTTGCTCTGGAATCGAAGGTGCCTTGCTTGGGTGAGCATGAAAGCTCATGTGGTGCGGCAACTGGCCGCAAAGTTTGGAGAGCCTTGCCACCTCGACGGCTGCCAAAACGACTGTTTGCAGGTGTGCGACCGGAGGAGAACCATTCGTTCGGAAGTCCAAGTTCGAACTTCTCGAACCCAGGTTCAAACTGGAGTTTGAACTCTGTCGGATCCAGTTCTCTTCATGGAGAGTCTTTAATTCTCGAACGAGGCTTCATGCTCCTTCTCAAGTCTTCAGAAGGGACTTCAAGGGAAAAAACAACGCAAACCAATGGCACCAGCTTCCCACCATCGTTCGGCCAAGGGGAGCTTGGGGGCCCCAACCCCTCCGCTGTTTTAGAAGCTTGCCGACAATCAAGAAAAAGATTGCCAATGACCAATTCCTGCCACAAAAAAAGAAGAGGCCACACGAAACCGCTTTATGGGGTTTTTTCGAAGAAATAAGAGAAAAGACAAAGAAAAGGATTGTCAATGAGAACCTCTCCGCTGTTTTTGGAAGCTTGCCAATTCGCACAGAGATCCGCAGGCTGATTGTCGTGATTCCAGGCAAGCTGCCCGAACATGCTCTCGGTCAGGCACTGGCACTGGAAGAAGCGATCTTCGTCGCTGACGGGAAGCACCAGAAAGAAGAACAAGGCGCTTGGGCACCATCGTTCCAGAAGCGAAGAAGGGGCGCCGCCCGCCCGCCGTCTCTCTCTTGTATCTGGTTTTCAAAACCACGCTCTGTTTCAGTGTAGTCTCTGGCTGTTTCGTTGATAGCGCAACTCCTTCCCCCCCGATCCGGCCGGAACCCGCTCCAAAACGCGGCCTATAGGAGGCTCAGGGCTGGCTTTTAGAAGGCCCGAAAGTGCACGCAAAATCCATGCAAAATCTTTTGGACCATGGTGCGGCCTGGCGGGGTAGAGGTTTGAAGGTTAAACTTCCACTGTGGCTTTGGGCGGGTCGTCCTCATAAGATTCGACTCGGAAAGCGCCACAGCGGTCAAATCGTGCGATTCGAGGGATACAAAGACTTCAAGATGACCACATATTTTTCACAAAGACTCAACAAGACTTCACAAAGACTCGAAAGATTCCAGAAAGATTCCAAGAGACTAGCCGAAATTGCGTCGATGCTTGCAGACTCGAGCCGGAATTGCAACCCACTGATGAGTGCTGCAGACATCAACCGAAAGAGCGATGTTCCGACGATGAGTGCTGCGTTGTCGTGTCAG